GCCGCCCTAGTTAATAATCTTTTAAAATTTTCACAACACACCTAAGATCCTTTTATGACACACTGGTTGAAAATCACTGCTGTCTGCCCTTCACCCGCTTTCCTACAGAGCCATGGTGCATTTGTTAAAACTAAGAAATTAACACTAAGAATTAGTCGCATTTCAGATTTCAACCCGAGCTCAGTCTACCCGCTGATGTTCCTTTTTTCTTCCAGGATCCCGTCCGGCATCTCGCACTGCATTTACTTCTGTCTCCTCACTTTCCTCCTGGCTGTAACACTCCCTCAGTTTTTTCTCTTTCATAGCCCTGACACTTTTGCAGAGGAGCGGCAAGTTAAGTTCTAGAATGTCCCTTCACTGGGGTTTCTGCGAGGTCTTCTGCTGATTACTAAGGGGTAATGGACTTGGAGGAGAACATGACAGGTGTCCCAGCCTGCTGCATCTCTTTGCATCTGTCACCCTCACTGCATGGCGTCAGGGGCTTATGGTGTCCATATGTTTTATTAATGGAGATGTCCGTCTTGATTCCTTGGTTTAGGTACTATCTTCCAAGTATCTTTACTGTAAAGTTAATATTTTTCCCTTTCTACACTGTTCGAAGCCAGTCCCCAAGTCCAAGTTTCACTCAAGGCAAGAGAAGCTGAGCTCCGTCTCCTGTAGGGGGAAGTGGCCATAATTTGCGGACATGTTAAAACCACTGCAGTAGTTAATATTTTAGGGGCGATATACTAAAACTGTGCAAATATCTTGTTTTTTCCTTGAACTTTTGCTCACCAAATTTGCATGAATCAGTCGCTGTTGCTTACAGCAGTTTTTATCATGGGGTAGGAATGGTGATTTTCTGTTTGTTTCAATCCTTCTCCATTTATTATTGGGAATTATTCTGTAAGGAAGAGCTATTTCCTTTGTCTTATTTATTCACTACCTTATTGCTATCGGTATGAGTGTATGGATTTTTTTTTTTTAGTTTTTAATCATAGTTTTATTTATTTTGCTGCTAATATTGCTCAGCAGTTGTGCAGGGAGAGAGAGAGGGAGAGACTGCCAAAGTCATGACAAAATGTATGTAACTACACTGTAGAAGGCCAAGACAATCTTGAGGGCAGAGAACAAGGTGGAGGATTTATATACTACTTCTCAAGATTTACACAAAAGCTACAATAATTGATACAATATCGTATCAACACAAGGACAGACAAGTTGACAAAGGAATAGAATAAAGAGCCCCCAAACTGATCCTGCATGTGGATTGTCGCTCGATTTATGACAAGAGTAACCTTCTAATGCAGAGAACCCAGGTTTATCTTTTCATTATATGGCGATGGGCTCATTGGATATCCATATGGAAAGATAAGGACTATAATTTTTATATCACACACAAAAATTGATTAGAGATGGATCTAGACATCAGTATGAAATGTAAAAATTCACGTTTCTTGAAGAAAGCATATCTGCCTAATTTTAGGGTAGGCAGAGGTGTTTTAAACAAGGCTCAGAAGAAACCATTACCCATAAAAGACTGAAAAAATTGGATTACATGAAAACCTAGAGCTTTAAAACTTAAAGCTTTTGTCCTGATTAAAGATAGCAGTAAAAGAATGAAAAGGCAAGTCACTGATTGGGGACACTTATCTGTATGCATATATCTGACAAAAGTTTTTTGTCTAGGCTACATGCACTCCTACAAATCAATAAAAAAAAAAATTACAAAGACAGAATCACAAAAAAATGGGCAGAAGTTGTAAATGGGTACTTTGCAAAAGAAGATTCACTAATGGCCAAAAAGCTCAAAAAAAGTTCTTAATCTCATTGATATCACTCAAATTCGAGTTAGAAGCATACAACCACATGAAGGATGGCTAACATGAAGTACTTAGTTTTAGTTTTTTGCCTGTACTCCTCTGATCCGTTTGGAGTTTAGTAAAGGATTCAATTTTATTTGTTTGTCAGATTCTTATATTTCAACAACTGTATCTTGCTAATTTCATTAAATGTCACCACTACATTCTTAATTTAACAATTATTTAACATTCATTCTTACTAGTTTTATTATTTCTTTCTCTTTCTTGAATCTGGTATTTGCTCTCAAATACCTTTATTTCCCTATCCCTTTCAGCAATTTGTGAATGGAATTCTAAATTCAGAAACTTTTCGCATTAGGTGCTGAGAAATACGACAAGCAGGTCAAGTGCATTTCGTGAAACTTCCCATATTGCTGGGCATAAATGCTGAACTCATGACTGTCACCTGTAATGCCTTTTATATCATGTGGGCCACATAAGTAATTTTCTAGTGGCCAAACCAAAAGCACCCTAAGACATCACCTAACCCCTGCGAGAAGTGCCCACATCACAAAGTCCAAAAGCTGCAGATGCTGGCGTGGGTGTGGAGAGAGGGGGACACTTTTACACTGTGCAAACTAACACAGACTCCATGGGAAGAAGTATGGAGAATCCTCAAAGAACTCAAACCAGAGTGCCCATTGGATCCCGCAATCCCATTACTAGGCATCTACCCAGAAGGATAAAAGAATCATTTTATCAAAAGGACATTCACACTAGATTGTTTATGATAGCTCGACTTACAATCACCAAGATGTGGAAGCAACCTAAATGCACATTGACCCAGAAATGGATTAATGAACTGTGCTATATATATATATATGTGTATAATGGAATATATATAATGGAATACTATTCAGCCATGAAAAATATGGAGACTTTAAATCTTTTGTATTAACTGGATGGAGTTGAAACACATTCTTCTTAGTAAAGTATCACAAGAATGGAAAAGCAAGTATCTAATGTATTCAATATTAATATGAAGCTAGTAGATGATCTAATACACTCCAACATAAGAGAAACACTCAATTCAATTCCAGATGGGGAGGGGGAAAGGGAAGCAGGGAGAGGGAAGGCGGTGAGAGGATGGTGGGCTCCCACTTAATGGACATACCGTAAGGGTATAGGCCACACTTTTTGGGTGCCGGACACAAATACAAGAGAGACTCTACCTAAAAAATGCAAATATTGGAACCTAGTTATTTGTACCTTTACATTAACCTGAAATTTTAAAAAAGTTGAATGAAATCTTTAGCAGGCATCTATTTTTTAAAAAAAGCCTGAACATAAATAGGCTTATAAACATAAACCAATTTTAATGATATAGTTTAATATATTAAAAATGTTACCATTGAACCGTGTAATCCATAGAACATGTATTTAATGAAATACTTTACATTCTTTTTTTGTTGTACTAAGTCTTCAAAATCCAGTGTATATTTGGTTTTTTTATTATTTTTTATTTTTACATATACATGTGATTATTAGGTTTCCACTTTTTGCCTTTACAGAATTAAAAAGGCTTAAAAATTACCAACAATAACAATGTTTAAGATAAGGGCTAGAAACAAAAACTTCATAAAGAATGAATGAAGCTAAATATATTCAGAAAAGAAATCAGATCCAGTGAATATTTGACATTTATTGTACCTCTCTGTGCAAAGCCTCTTTTCAAGTGCTTAATAGACACATAGCTAGTGGCTACCCTATTGGACAACACAGCCCCGTGAGGTCCAGGCCCCATTGCCTCTCTGACATCATTTTATCACCATCTCCCTCCTTCATTCTCCTCTGGCCACACTGGGCACCTTGCAGTCCTTAAACACACCAATTGCATTTTTGCATGAGGACCTATGCACCTGCTACCCTCCCTGCCTGGAATGTCCTCTCTGTGATCTGCCTGTGGCTTTTCACTCACCCTTCTACGGTCTCTGTTCAGACATTATATCAATGAGGAGCCGTCCTGTAATCTTGTATACAACACCACCAACC